AGACTTATTTAGCATACTTATAAGTACAAGAAAAAATCGGATATAGCGTTACCGCTAATAGAGTTTGTTAGAACGTGCTAATCACAAGAATCAGACAAATTTTGTCATTCGATAGCTGAATTCTTGAAGACGCTCACGAGCCTGTTTGCAAAGAATCTTACGCAGATTTTTTCCTAGGTGATGTAAATGAGCAAATACAATTACAGGAAAAGAGAAATTAATAAAAATCAAATTGCCCTAAAATACATTAATATATGATGACAAATTAACGCAAATAAGTATTGTTTTTAGAAAATCTAAATTTAAATCCCGGTTAAGTATCTAGATATATTCTAAATCATTATCATGTTTTCAATTTAAAATAGAATTACACGAATTATTGAGATAGAACTGACATATATGTTTTAAATATCTTATCTAATAATATCTCATTCTTTGTATACAGAGTTCAAAATGGTGCAGCAAACAACCTGAAAATTTGGCATTCTAGATTATCTGTGTATTTAGTAGAGATAATCTAGAATGGCAATACAAACATGAACTAGAACAAATCACGACACGGAAAGTAAGATTAAACCGGGCGATCTACGCAGATACTTTTCATGATTTTTTTTTGCTAAATATATAGGTGATGGCCGATTACTTATCTTTGGCAGACAAGCTATGTTTAATATGTCTATAAGAGGAAATCAATACTGTGTATATTTTTAAGCCAGATAACATTAACTTGACCGTCTCATCAATTGATTTAAGCCTTTCAATAATTATTATATATTCTAATATATTATTAACTTTATTAAAGACAAAGATTATTTATAATTGAACTCCTCCTACCGAATATCTTGAAAAATTTAATGACAAAATCAGCGCGCGGTCTGAAAAGAGGTTCAAAACTTTTTCAAAGTACGATCCTCGCAGGGTGACCAAATGTTTTTTTCAGTAATAGCACAGGAAAATAATAAAATGGATAATTTTCCTTTATAAATATTAGACAATAATGACAAAGTTTATTGAACCATAACAGCAGTGGGGTTTCACCGCCATTGTTATGTGAATATCTATTATGTGATAAACTTATCTTTATGATAAACTAATTAGTTACCACACCTAGACGTCAGATAATCGAGTAATTGATACAAAATAGTTCAATATAAAATGAGAGACCTTTGTTACAATGAGGTCATTTTGGAGTTCATCGTTATAAATCATAAATAGGCATTTTTGGTCTTTAGTGTATATAAAATAGTCAACTTTAGTATATAAAAAATTATAAAATTCGATACCAAATTCGTTTTTTTTTCCAGTACCCATGTTGTAAAAATGACGTTCTTTTATATTGTAATAAATTTATCATCTATCGGTTTACCTATCACCATGGTCAGAGTGACCTAATGCCAAAATGCATAATCCGTACAATAACGTAATTAACTACATAAATAATAGAACATTGTAAGGAAATTACGAATGAATAGTGACCATAATTAAGTGCCAGATTCATATCAACTAGTCTAATTACTTGATTAGGTACCTATTTCAATTTTTTTACATTGTTATTGGCAATGTTATGTTTGCAATTATATAAACTAAACAAAAAATATACACGAAACAAAACATAAAATATTAACACTTATTATGTAATCTCTATGTATCCTCTCAAAAGCTGATATTATACAGTACTGAATTAAAATTGTATACAACAATTATTGAACGTCTCACAAACGTAGAAAAAATGTAGAAGAAAAAAGCAATCTAAGCTTATATTATTGTTGTTTTGCTTCCTTGGCATTGTTTTGTGTTTACAATAAAACCTTATTTATCTCTCCCAGCAGGAGCAAAATCTTCCACCGCTAAATAAATATTATTTTATTTTTATTTCTACAAAGACTAACTATAAAATTAATATATAAATCCATTGAGATGGGAATCTAAATTGTCTATTCCGTTACTTTGTGAATAGTTTTGATAAATCAATAGCAAATTGATGATTTTCAAGATGATTGATAAAAGTATTATATGTAATCCTACTTCATATCGTTGCTGTGTACACGCCCACATCAAGTACCATTATGAAACATTTATTTTAATTCAGTTTTCAAGAGTTAGATAATATTGGAAATTTCGAATCGAAATTCACTCCGAATCAAACTTACGGAAGAAACAACCCGTTTAGGACCAGCCGCTGAGAGTATGTAATTCTGAGAGTCGAAAAACGCATCAAAACAAAGTTATTTATGTAGTCTAGGCTTACGAGCACTTGTGGAAGTCGAAATTCTATGTCATGAGTCCATAAACCTACTCCGGGAAAAAATCAGAGGGTTACTAAAAAGCAGTCGTCGACGAAGTACTTAAAGTTTAATCGAAAATCTTTAAGTACTTCCGGCGAATTACTAAACTTTAGTTTAATAAATTATTGAAACATTTCAATTTCGTCTATTCTTATAACCTAAACGATGAATAATTTAGCCTCTATCATCATAGTTTCCTAATACGACATTAATAATGAGAGATCCTAATCTGTACGTACTTATGTGTGCCACAATCAAAGTTAAATATTGAGGCAGACTATTTAATATTCGTCGACGCCCGCCCGCCGCTGTAATCTTTCTCGCAAAATTCTAGTTTTTTTTTATAACACCTAATATAATTATTTTACGATATTTACACAGAATCTGCTGGAGACCGGTGCAAACCTATACATATCAGTGTTGTTTGTAATCATAAAACGAAAGTGCGCACTTGCTCTATGCTCAAACATGCACTTTTATATATATAGTTACCGAGTAATAAGGAAGTATCAAACACACGTATCAAATAATTAACAAAAATCACATACTCAACTCTCTACTTTTGATTTCTAGAGCTATTTGGACAGATTTCTTAGCTTTGTGTTCAATTTATTGATGATAATAATTTAATATGTTAGTTGCGGATTAATTAGTTGATTGAATATAGCATGTATATTTATATTACAGAAAGTTTTATAGTATGATATGCGATATATATAATAGTGATATGCGATCTGAATTTTAACATAAATTAAAAGACATAACTAGTGCACTGGATAAGAATATGTCTGGATACTAGATAATATTGCCGATACTGATATTTTCCGTTTAGCGAAACCGATATATTAAATTGTAAGAACTATAGATTATATGTAATATTCATTAGTTTTGGAAATAATGAGTGGGAGGGAGATGAATGGTCAATTTTCGCCTATTGTCGTCTCATTTAATATGTCGAATATAATATGCAAAGTTTATTTAAAGAATTTCTAATTTACTCGCCAAAAGTGTCCTCCTATTTCAAATTTATTGATATCAAACATGCGTTTACAAAATTAAATATGTGTACCACGTTTCACGTATATCGGTCTGTACTACACCGAATCATCAGGTGCCAAATACCAAATTTTCAGATTCAGAGCAAATCAGCTGCGAGAGAAGGACAGATGATCCTGTTAGAGTCCTCTGGGGATGAGGAGAATATTTCCCTTTGAAATGTGGAACCATAAAAATAATAAGTTCAAATTAACCAACACTTTTTGTTTAATTTCATCAGTATTCATCACAACATAATTCAACAAAAAGAGCACATTTTCAGGTTTTCATCATTGTAGTTCTATATATGTACAAATACAAATGTTTATATGTTCTTACAATCTGTTTTACTTAAATATATTCAATACTTTGTGTTCCGTAAACATTCCTTATAGAAACAATAATATAAATAGTCAAATATACATAAATATTGAAGAAATTACGATGAATATATTTTAAAGTTTTAGTCATAATTTAATTAAATATTAAATATTTTTAAGAGTTCCACACCAAAAAAATGAAACTCTAGGACCACTCATTTGTGTGTCGGTCAGGGGGCTAAACATTATATGAAAATGGATAGGGATCCGTTTTAATAAAATTTTAGGCATAATATAACGTGGTATACATTTGTTTTTCGTAATTATGTTTACGCGTAGCAACTTAAGCTTCTAACCAAACTTAATTAATTGATCGGTTCCGAGTTCAAAATCGATTGAGGTAATTTGACATATTGTTACCACAAATATCCTGATGTGCAGTCGTTTGTACACATATATTAGGTACTGGCTAATGCACTGGTGGAACAAAAATGAATAAACAAACGAAAGTTTACTTTGGGGGTAAGTTAGAAAATTTTAAAGGTTCACCGACTATATTATGTAGAGGTATGCGACACATTAAATGAAAGGGTTTATTGTATGAATCTCAAATATATTTAAGATAAAAAGTTTGAAGAGATTTAATAAAATATGCCAAAATAGATTATTTCTCCGGACCTGAAAAAGACACTGGATCTAAAATGTTGAATAGAAAAACAGAACATAGTTCTTTACCTATAACCTTATATTTGCCTTTATTTGTCTATATTAAAAAGCATTTACAGATGACACAATTGATTATTACAATAAATTATCAATTATTAATATAATCAATCGTGTCAGCAACTGTTATAATTTGAATAACACAAAGCCTGGCTGGTCATTCACTCGTATCTATTAAAAATGTATATGACGTCTCGCTTGGTATTCTATTGTGCAAAATTATTTTAATGTCATAAATACAGAATATACTCCTTAATGTATTATAACCAAATGTTTTTATAAAGAGCTCAAATACAACCGAAAACTACAGTATTTTTAAATGAATTTGGCTATTTTTTTATTTCTTGTATTTAAGCATTCTTATAATTTGGATAACGTATTGCGGAAATCATTGTATGTAATCCAATATCTAAATATTGTACGTCAAATAAATCCAACAATATTCGCTCCCCGTATATGCACATGTTTTGTCTACATTTACTATATACCTACACAGATTAAACTTGCATGTATAATAATTTTTTTAATTTCTCTCAGATTCGATAGTGGACCGTGATTGAATAATGTTAGTTGAATAATATTCGTTTTATTTCATTGTTCAACAGTAGTTCTATGAAAAATGCATTAAAACACATACCTATAGCGCTTCTGTACAGCACCCACGAGACTCGCAATATTATAATGACTATTAGTACAAACATCGGTGTAAGGCCAATAATTTTGTTTACTTCCATCCTGTCGTCTTGTCTTACGTCGGTGAGATCTTGACTTTCCATTATAATAATGTCAAATTGTCTTTTATATTTATGAAAAAAAGCAATGAAACACTTTAAACGTCTTAACCGATTATAGTTTCTTTAATCATTTACATCATAGTAACACTTAATTCACAAATAAAGAATATTTCAATTCAAAATTGGAATATTGTAAATTAAAAATAAAAGAAAAATAACGCGCCTCTTCCTATCACTCAGGAAAAAGTTTTAATAACAAAAATTAAAAATACTTTTTAGAGTTGCGCGAGCGTCTAAGCGGCTGTCTATACCAAGACTAGTTCTTTTTTATGCGTGTGTATAATTTTGACGGCTCCGTACTAGCGGTATCAAATCGTTTACGTTACTTTACGTCATACGCGAAGCAGTGATTCTAGACTACATAGATAACAATGTATCCAGTTACCTAATAAACGCCGAGATAAAATTAAACCCCTGAAAGGAGGAAATAGCTTTGATTCTACGGCGTCATCTGATGTAAAGTTGATTATTTTGCTTATGCAATCGTATGTTAGTTTTCCCTTGGTTTTTTTTTCTAATTTGCATTTACTCATAGCGTAAACAACGTATAGGGAAAACAGTTAAGGGCGGATACTTTTATAATAATACATGCATGACACCTGTTAATAACCTTACTTATGTAATTATGTCTATGTATAAACCTCTGTAACGCTGCTGGTTTCAAATAAATAAATAAATGACTGGGTAAAAAGAAAGAAATTATTATCTATCTAGTCCGTCGGTTAGATTATAGAAAAATATTAGATACGTATTTTTTGCTTCAATATAACAATGGTTTAGATAACAGGCATTAAACTTACGGTTTGGGAGCTCGCTACGTCACAACTTTGTAGAAAATGTACAAAGGTGTGACGTTACGCGACATTTCAACTCAATATAACACCGTAATTTATTAATTACGCAAAACAAACTTGTTTAATATTCTATCAATCTACCCGACGGACAAAGAAACAAAAAAGTTGACAGACACAAAACATCCCTATTCTATAGTCAAGCGGCTCGATGGTTTAACTATCCCACTTAAGCTGATATCCAGAGTCCAGTCCAGAGGTTAGATCTGGACTATTATAAACTTAGAAAGACAAATCGCTTGAGCAATATTAAAACAAACCAGTGTTGTGATTTTATAAGAATTTAAATATAATTTAAAAGATATACCTTTACAAATGTATTTTTATGAAATAACACCTTGTACTTGTCTTTTCATTGAACCGTTAATCTATTTATAATTACAAAAGAGTTGTAATATTATAAAATGCAATTATTAAATATGTTTTTGAATTAAACAGATTAATTTATTTGCAGAATATAACTAAAAATAGAATAATGTCTCTTATCCGGATACGTGTGTTATGTTGGCTTAATAAAAAATATTGGTTTGACTAATCTTGTAGTAAGGTAGTCGCTGGTCTTAGGGTCGTATTATTGTTCGAGACGAGGTGGTTGAAGAAGTGTATCCGGTGCAGTGTGAAACTGCGGTCGAAGCTACAAATTTTTAATTACACCAATATTATTCTTAAAGACTTTAATGTCTAGATTAAATCTAGTAAAATATTTAACTTACTGGAAATGTACTACGTAATATTAATAAATGATAAGAGGAGAAAAATTCATGGAAAAAGATACGCAAGTGATGTATCTTGCATTTATTGTCAACATTTACTATCACGTAATTAACGTGGTGTCATAAAAACTTACATTTCTTGAGGTAAAATCTGACGCATAACTAATTATGACACAGTCTAATAAAAATATTTGGGATTAAATTAGGAATGTTACTAACGAAATTCATCTGTGTAGTCTATATTTTATTTGGTAATTTCTATATCGTAAGGTCTTTCAAAAAGGTGTATCCGAATTCATCTGTCCCTACCCATAAGATTCTCGACCTTCGCCTCAATAGAAAGTCAATAGAATTTTAGCATGCGTTTTTGAACAATTCATATTTACAGGAAACACGTTCAAGTGTATTGGTTTTATTAATTGGTGTTGATATGCGTATAATAGAAGCGCACGTCTGTTTGTTTTACCGTTGTAGGTTTTATGGAGATATTAAGGTACCTATTTAAGGTTAATTTTAAATTGGGTTTGATCTTACAATGCTTGTATTTTAGCATTAAGCATATAGTGTAAACGTCTACAGCATAATTTAATACACTCAAATAAGATAATTTGAAAGAAAATTTACATTGAAGTGGATCGTATCACACTCTAATATATTTCCTGTATATCAGACTCATGTTTTTCTATTGTACTAAACTACAACCATATGTACGCTTTGTTCTATAGCAGTGGTTTCCAAACCTGATTAAGCTCTGACCCATCTAACAAAACTTTCCAATCTCGAGATCCACCTCTCGGCTGTCAGTGATAAAGAAGGCATAAACATGATTCTCTGCTGACTCTGCTCTGCTTTATACACAATAAAATGAAGGCAAACTTAAAGCTTTGGGCATTCTCTGCCAGTCAACCTTTAGGTGATGTGGAGATTATGTTAAATCAAAGGTGGGTGTATAACATAGCACACATAGCTTCTTATACAAACATTATATCCATTAGGGGTCTCTCGATATTCTTTCGCTACCCACTGGATAATGGAATTCATACTTTGGAAAATACAGCACACCCATTACTTACTATAATATATAATTAGTCGTCGAGCAAGTACAGCAGGTAAGTACCTACCACACTACTCTAGACTAGTACGGTGTGTGTAAAATATATGAATGTGTGTGTGAGTGTGTGTATGCCAGTGTATGTGTAATTGCGGATGTGTGATTGTAAGATATGGGGGTCTGGGCAATCTTTGTAATATCTTTATTTGTGTGTTTATGTTTATAGCTGTTATAGTTGTTACGTTTTATGTAACTAATTGATTGTCATATGTATTTAAGCAAATATTTGTAATATATTTCCCCTAATTTTATCAAGTTTTCAAATTAATGTTATATATTTTTCCTTAAGTGTTATAAAATATATTTTGTTGAATATTTTGTAACTTTAAATAGATCATATTTTCCAAAAATATAAAAGAAACCTGTATTTTCACTTGTAGAACACAACCCTAACTGAAAATGCTATAAAACGACATTGGGTAGTATAGAAACCAAACGATCTTGAGTTCTCCAAAGATCTTTTTAGCAATGTACTCGTATTAGAGATTAGATTGGTTTACCTTGATTTTTTAATAATTCCGTATTAAATTACCAACCATTTTAATCACGGCAACACTAACGGCCGGTTTCTGAATTGAGAAAAGCACAAAATTTTTCTCAATAACTTAAGTTTTTTATTTATAAATCAATTTAAAAAATCAGTAATGAAAACCTGTTTATTGACGTTAAAATGGCTTAACCACGGTTTGAAATGTGCTCAACTTCAAATTCTCAATATAGAAACCGAGTTAGTCAGATTAATCTCATAATTTGAACATAACATTTTAATACCTACACTAATCTATGCAAAGCTAAGAAATTATTTATTTTTCTCCAGATCCATGTGTGTTTTTATAAATATTGCTGTTCACGATGTATTTTAAAAAATATAATGTAATTAATATAAGTAGATTATCGCTTTTGATTTTGAAATATATGTATTATAATGAAACAATGTGTCCACAATCGTTCATTTCTTACTTTATAGAGCTAAATTACAAGAATCTTCAATTTCTCAAACATCACTGTTTCATTCTGCTTCAATAAAAATACCACTTAGGGGTCATTTCTTGTGATGATACGTTTTTTGTAAATGCGCACAATATGCCTTTTGGGTGCCGATTGACATGGCCGTATAATATGGACCGATCAGGTGAAACATCATCATCATACAAATTTTATACCGTCCTTAGTGACGCCTTGGACAGAAACCGGTGGAGACATATCATTCACATCAGATGATATATTTACTAGCTTTCACCCGCGTGGTCCCTAGGGAACTATTTAGTGAGATAAAAAATACTCTATATATTAATCCCCGATTAAAAGTATCGGTATACCAAATATCATCAAAATCTGTCCAGTAGTTTTAATTTCGACTCCTATCTCCAAACTCATAATCTTTTTGCTGAAGCGCTACTTTGCTATAAAAATGTAATAGGTATTATTTCCAGATCTATCGTATTACTTTGCTGTAAAAAAAATCATAGGCGTTATTTTAGAACTTGCTTTATTTCATTTCAGTTCACACTACCCGTGACTTCAGCCACGAAACTATTGCTCGGACGATATGACTACTAAATAGCTACTGAATACTAGAAGTTTTCTTTCGCAAAACATCAGTATATTATAGTAAAGTTGTCTAAATATCGATTGCAGATTTTTGTAAATACTCATATTAAATCGATATAGTTTAAAAAAAAAAAATACTTTAAACCTTTTATACCAAAGCGAGAAATATTAAAACAATTCAGTTGTGTAGATATACACATAACTTAGTGTGTCTTATTCCCGCCTGCCCTAGTGGCCACGGAACCGGTCTAAGCCCCACCGGTATCGAAAGCATCCTCGGGGTTGCGGAAAGAGGAGTGGCCTCCAGACATAGATGATAATGATAATGACTCAGAGGAGACTTGGGTGGCGTAATGTAGTAATTGGGTGACCTGGGTAATGGCACCCAAGTCAGTGACTTGACCGGCGTTAACTTTGTTAGCAATGCTCGAGTCAGAAGGGAGTGAACCCGTAAATCCGTACGTGGTGCGTGAATAGAAGCCGCCTTAAGGGGGCCACGTGGAGCATACCACTATCAAAGTTGGTGAGCATACACCAACCAAAGAGCGTCACCCAGGGGTATCTCTCGCCCCCTGGCGTAGTTAGGGTTGCACGGCTATTGCAGAATCTCTGCCCAGGTGCACTGATTTATTGTGGGAATCACAATGAAGAAAATGTAATATATACTACTAATAAAAACTCAATCGTAAAAGAGTTTGAGAAGAACAACAACCAAAAAAACAACCGAAAATGCAGCCACAATATCTGACACATATCAAAGGGACATCTCCATATGAAATGAAAAAAAAAATGTGACAAAGAGACCACCACTACATGTATAGACTATTTAAAACATCTGAGTGTAAACGTTAAAGAGGCGGTGGGTGAGGTCAGTTATGTCAATAATAGGGAACTCGCTTCGCTCTATCAAGAAGTTATTAGATAACAAGACCATTATTGTTTCAAAAATTGTACACACCGAAAAGCAAGATCAAAGTCGAATTTGAACGGTAAGAGCAAGCGTCTGCTTCCATCATTATACAGGTGGAGAGA